AGCTGTAAGCATATTTAATATTAAATTTCCAAAATTATGAATGAAGTATCTCAGCATTCATCGAATCTATTTTATTGAAAAATATTAAAATCTTTGTCACGGCTTTTTACTGAATTAAAAATTTACATAACGATAACTTTGGACGATTACACAATGGCTGCATGTCGGCATACGCATAATCATATCCGAGGTTTATGCATATTTTACTTTTGATCCATATTTAGTTAATATTATCTAAGCAAACTTTTTCCATATTTAGTTGGCATTATTAATCGGCCGAATTCTTTAATTATTCGTTCGATCGCAAATATTTCAAAATCAAATTTGGAAATGAGGAATAAACTGCATAATCGAGTAACTTATATAGTTATTGAGAATAGCTTTATTGATAATATGTTCGATATAGAATATATCACGACAAAAATATAAAATATAAATTGAAAAATGTATATAAAGCACATTGATTTGATCTTCAATAAAAATTCATCTAAACAATAATTTTCGCTAGTATTTTTTGCCTTTTTTTTTGTAAAATTATCACATCATAAATCTTTGAGTCGATTACATTATTCGAATTTGTAAATTAAACAATTCCATTATAATAAAGCATAAAAATGAGCGAACACATTCAAGAACTTGCTAAAAAGATGTGCACTCGTTGCTATTGCAACAAGACGATTGATAACTTTCTTCGCGCTTCTGAAGATAACAGTGCATACAAAGATAATGATACATGCAACCAATGTGCCGAAAAGAAGAAAAGTAAACGGCAAGAAAATCTAATAGTATCAAAAAAAACAAAAAGGGAAACAGTTCAAACCAGCAATGCTACTTCTAATGATCCTGGCATAACTACCTCGACCAATGTTGATGTAATCGTCCCGAATGTTTCCAATATCGCTTCTGATAATTTTAGTAGTGCTATGTTTGACAACTCTGCTACTATTACTCCTGAAGTTTCTAATATCACTATAGATGATTTTAGTAGCATTATCTCTAATAATTCTAACACAATTATCCCAAATGATTCCAGTAGCAGCCTTTATGATGAAAGCGAGCATGACGTCCAAAGTGATACTAATTTAGAGGTAATGATGTATGACCTGGACGAATTGAATGAAATCATCACCAAAAAGTTTGAAGATGCTGAAATATTCGATGATCCTGTAAATCTTGCCCTTGAAGTCGAGTTAAGTCAAGACCTTCTTTCCGAATTTTCCTTAGATCAACAAAGTTTAGCCAATATAACTGATCTAAAAGCAATTGAAATGAGGTTTAGACACCTTGCATCCCTACTTACTATACCACTTGAATCTGGATCAGGTTATTATTGGGAAATTCGAAAAATATATTTAAACAGTAAAAATAAAAAATTTTCTGGTTCAGCCACGGCATATCTCGGTTGTACAATGCGGGATGATC